GGAGGGGGCGCGGGCGGGCGGGCACAGCTATATTTGCCAGACATATGACACACATCTCGGTAGTGGCACGTCAACATCAGCTCTCATGCATAGTAATGATATCACGGCATACAATAAAAAAAAAACAACAAACAAACCAACAAACAAACAGAAAACAAGAACTCCTGAAATTTGAAGAAAATTGAATTCTTTAAAAAAAAAGAACAAGAAAAAAAAATCAACAAATCTAAGTTGTTTATGGTACCCACTGCTTTCAAACATGCTCCTTCAGATAACAACTGTAATTTCACATATCATTATCAGTCAGTGGTAAAAGTGAAGTGAAGGCATGTGTTGTTTTTAGCTTTTCCTGAGACTAATTGTCCACACTTGAAAAATCGAGTGCAAGTTACAATAATACAGCGATAACAGGCAGAGTTCGGCTACTGAAAAATAACAGACACACCTCATCACAAGTAAAGATTTATTTAGTTCAGTAAATGAAACCTGTCTTAGAACTCACACACACACAACACACCGAAGAGAGGTTGAGAGAGAATGAGAAAAAAAAAAAGAAGAAAAACCCTTTCTTTCAGAGGGCAGTTATCAGTATCAGTATCAGAAAGTGTCGGGTTAGATTTTTGTTCAAAATACGATTCGACTCTGATAAATGTGTAGTGATAATATCGCACCCTCTGAATACACAGACACATGAAATGTCATGTCTAAACTACTCAATCTTCTAGCAGACTTGTACCGTACATGAAATATATACATATTCCTGCTAGTGGTTATTGCATACCTGATAGTGTGAGATTAGCATGTATGGCAGTTGTCAGACTACAGGTGGCTGAAGGTGATTAGAGAAGAGCCAGTATATTTTATTACAAAAGACATGACCAGTGGAAGTCTTTTGAGGTTTTTTTTTCTCCCGAATGCCCGAGACAGGGAGGAGGTGGAATAAAGCATGGACATTTTAAATGTCTTTCCATCTTCACACACTTAGTCCACCTCAGGGTTTTAAAAAAAAAATTGTTCCTGAAAAAAGATTTCCCTCAACAGGAACACATTAGTCATGAAACAGTTATTAATACTTACATAAAAGCCATTATAAGAACTGTTTGGAATGGTACATTCTTTGTTCGATAGCCACATGTATTGTAATTGGGAGTAAACTTTGAGAATAATAAACTGTTGGGAAAATAAATAGAGAGTGTTATTAGAAAAGCGAGGAGAACTATGCAACAAAGGGACTATGCTGTGCGACAGCCACAGGCTACATCTGCAACAATCCGGAGGAGCACAGGTCAGAGGTTAAACGAACGACCTACAGAAGACAAAAACCCTGGCCTCTAGCATGAGTGATGCCAAAGAGAAACTACTGGCTAGGTCGTTCTAAGTCCGTCCCCTTTGCTCTCACAGAGCGGTATACAATAGGTCATGACACCAAGGTTAATAAGAGTTAAAGAGAAAGATCTCATCAACCCAAAATGTGTTTAAAAAGAGGAAGTTATGTCGTTCTAAGTCAGTTTTCTATTTTCTCACAGAGGGGGAATATAAAAAGTTGTGTCACCAAAGTTAAGAAAAGTTAAAGAGAAAGATCTCATCAACCCAAAATGTGTTTAAAAAGAGGAAGCTATGTCGTTGTAAGTCAGTCTCCTGCATTCTCACAGAGGGGGAATATAAAAAGTCGTGTCACCAACGTTAAGAAAACTTAAAAAGAACGATCTCATCCACCCAAAATGTGTTGTAAAAGAGAAAGCTATGTCGTTCTAAAGCAGTCGCGTATGTTCTCACAGAATGGTATATAGGAGGTCACGTCACTAACGTAAAGAAAAGTTAAAGAAAGATCTCATCAACCCCAAACTTTTTTTGGAATACACATGAAATGTTAGCTTGAAGAAAGCGTCAGTGAATAAAGAATGCTGAGATGATTCAACGGATTACTAATCTCACTTTCTCCATCCATACACCCTTCAAACTTGAGTTTCCACTTTTTTTTTCTCTCTCTACTAACCAATTTAAAAATAACATCTGAGCACTGAAGTGAGGTCAGTTTAAACAACATATCTCCACAACTCCACACCACACATATAAAACCTGAAACGCAACATTGAAGTGAGTACGCCTTAAACAATCATTTTTTTTTTTTAAAAGGGGTATGAACAATGCAGACAGTCATTATGCCGAGTGTTGAAAAAATAAAAATAAATTTGTAGTCGACTCTTCATGGGGCAGAATGCTAAAGTAAGGCATCACAAGGTTAATATCAGTCTAAGGGGGTGTCAAAAATGATCAAGACTGCTTAGTAGTAGTAGTAGTAGTACACCAAGGTCACCCACGGAGAGAAAGAAAGAACGAGAGAATGAGAGAAGGGACGAGTACAAACGGACAAGCCAGGCAAGTACAATGCCTCCTGTTTACCCCGTTGAGAGTGACGTCCCCTGAGGTATACTTGGGGTCATCCACATTTATCTTAGCCAGGTCCTCGTCAATCTAGAAGAGGTTCACTGCACTAGGTTAGAACTGGGTTGTTTTTTTAAACGACTCGACGCATAACAATCATAGCCCGTTCTTTATAACATAATGCCATTCTCAATACCGAAACAAGTTATCCTCTTGAGGAGACTTCACAGTCCATCAAATATAACAGTATTCAAGGGGTACCAACACCTTGCCTTCCTTTAGGCTAAACAACATGAACACACAATGAGATAATGTGCCTTTGTGTTCAGCTGGTCTAATTCATTGTCTTCCTATTCACACACTATAATGAAAACATAAATACATGTGAATTTTATTACTCCGTACATTCAATCCTTTTCTTAAATTAACTTAACTTCTCAACAAACAAAAGTTTATGGGTTCAAGAGACTTTCATGGGTCTCTCACAATGGCTGCACTGGTCTCCTATTAGAGCGAGGAAAGTGCACAATTATAAGCATGGTGGACATTGAGTTGCCTATGTACTCTCAGACCAGGAGACCATAAAAAAACCCAACCATACACCACTGTCTTATTTATAAAGCAGCATTTCAGCAAATTATATCTTGGCTCCCTCAAACTCGACAGTGCTGTCGAAATATATATAAGCAAAAGTATTAGCAGTACCAAAGAGCTCCAATAACTCTCCTTGAACAAGCAGTTCAGATCTCACTTGAAGAGACAATAAAGAAGCACAAGCATACATCAATATATGAATAGTACACATCTGTACAGAAACACAAGGAGCGAGCACATGACTACTGCATGGCTCACAAGTTACAAGTTAGAATGATATGTCTTAGGTTTCAGAATGACAAATTTCTCAATTTGTTTTGCTAATTTTACTGATATTATTAATTTGAAAAGGCATTACGATAATTTGTGAGCTGCAAATATCTCTGCCTTGCTTAATGGTATCATTTAAAATAAAGCGACAAATTCTGGAAGATGATTGAATAAGACAGGAAAAATCAAACTGAGTCAGGGGTAAAAACACCAACAATATGAAGAAAAAAAAAATGGATAGAAGTTTTTAAAAAATAGAAGCATGAAACAACTTGAATAATGAAGCCTGGGAACATGGCAGCGACTTCTCTTACACTTGGCTGTGAATGGCCAAGATTGAAACATAAACCTATATGAGGGGCACCTGAAATCAGAAAGCAAAGCTATAAAGACAGACATAACTTCTAAATGCAAGACACATTTACAAATTACTGAAGTGCAGAAGGAAATCTTCACAGTACAAACTATCGGTGTCCATGAATTTCTGGGTGCCACTTGTTTCGAGAATAATATTTTCAGAGCATATAATGATTGCATATATAGAAAAAGAAGCACATCTATAAACCAAAGAATAAAATGACAAGAGAGAAACAACAGAGAACAGCAAAAGCTCCTGGAATTCCAGAAATATCCAAAAGATAAAGTTGGCACGCCTGGAAAAAGAAAGCAGCACAATGTAACAGGAGAATCACTTCTGTACCAATGACGCGCCAGATGAAAGTATTGACAAAAATAATTCCAAAAATATAAAGAAAAGAAAAAAAAGGTTTGATAATAAAACACACCACATGAAACACTGATCATATGTAGGACTCCATAATGCGTCAGGAATCCGTACCGTGTTTTACCAACAAAGCGCCAGACGAAAGTATTGACAAAAATAATTCCAAAGATATAATGAAAAGAAAAAACAAAAAAAGGTTTAATAATAAAGCACACCATATAAAACGATGGTTGTATAATTTCCACTCTCGAGATATAAAGTGACAAAAAGAGGAAAGTTTGAGATGTGGAGGATCACCTACCATGACATGTTTGCTGGTGAGGACAAAGTTGGGCACCATGGGCTCCATCGAGTGTAGAAACTCCATGCCGCGAGCAATGTCGATGGCGAAGCGCAACGACTGGTTCTGGTCGACCACAATATCTGTCGTGACAGGGGACAGGACAGAAGAAAATGACTAAAGTTAAAAAGACATTTGGTTAGAAAGAAGCATCAGCAAGTTAAAGTCTGTTGTTTTTGTTTTATATAAATGTTTGATTTCTATCATTAATTCTCTCTTATTGCTACATTAAAAGAATAGTACTTGCATGTTTTATTTTGTCTTTTTTGTTTTTTTGTAAAGTGTTTTACAGCGCTCGCAACTGCATACGGTCATATGAGCGCGCGGGATACACCAAATATTTTCAGATGATAAGAAATTTTGAATTTTGCCCGGGTGGCGGCCTAAGCCTACTCTTATCGATTTTAGACCACCAAGTTATCTTTAACGAGCGCAACTTGCACATGGGCCCTCCGAGATTTTTCGCCCTTGTCCGAGAAGGCTACGTGTAGATCTTTCCTACCAGAAGATCAGGGGTGTGGCAGAAAGACAGCAGTAAGGAGAAGCCAAGGAGTAGCAGTACAAAGGCTGCAGAAAGAGTCAGGAGTCCAGAGGAGGGGACAAAGGAGGTGAGGGGGTGGGGGCAGAAAGTGGAATTGAAAGCAGACAACAGAACTTTGCTAGAGAGCAGGAAAGGAGGTGAAAGGAGACAATTTTAGAGAAGAAAATTTTTCGGTCGCTACCCGGATTCGAACCCGGGACCTTTGAATGAGAGGCCAACACCTTAACCTCTAGGCCACGACAGCCCCCTTATTTTGTCTACTAAACACAAAAACCCCATTTGATAAGAATGGGAAGGGGGTAAAAAAAATAATTTCTTCTATTTTTTTGGGTATGGTACTCTCTAGCAGCACCTTTAATCTGTGGCACTCATGTGAACTTATCGTGTTGTAAGTGGTGTAAAACTCTTGCGTGTTGTAAAACTCTTACCAAAAAACCAAAAAAAATCCCCAAGAAAAAGAGAACAGTGAGTGAGCACAAGAACAACCACGTATTGCCAAAAAGAAAAAACAAAACAAAAAACAACCGCAAAAACTATCAAACTAGAAGCAGCCGACCAGACCAGAGAACCCAACCAGAGCACACCCCCCCCCCCCCCCCGCCTCTCTAGACGATGAACCTACCAGACTCTCCGTGAAGGGTGTTGTACAGGGAGCCAAAGGGCATGAACTGACTGATGACCACCAGATCTGGAGGGTCTTTGGGGGCACAGCAACCCAGCACAGCCAACACGTTAGGGTGGTTAAAAATTCTGCAGATGAAGAAAAGTTCAGAGGAGGTAAAATCTGCAATGTGTATGCGTGGCAAGTGCAATATTTCTCTAGGCTGCGAATAAAGTCATAAGTTCCTCCGAGAAAAAAAGCTGAAGGAGCACATCATGATAGCTCTTTCTTAATGCTGCGGGTATTTTAATGCCATTGCAGGCTACCAATATGACTTGTAAAGCATATTGAGCATTTGAAATTATAGAAAAGCGCTATCAGTAAATAAATGCCATGTATTATTATCATTATTACTATTATTACTACCATAATTACTACCACTACGTCATCAATAAAGTATCTTTAACAAGATCAAGAAAAATATAAAGGCACAAAATGACCACAGAGTGGACAACACCTGTAGCCTTTCCTGGCTGATTATTCTGTACTTGCAAATATTGGGCAATACAGATGGCCATACTTATGCCAAAAATCACATTTGCAAAGAGTACTGTTACTTACAAAATAACTATGGACACAAAAGAGAAATCTTGAATTAATGAAAATGTATGGAAAGCTTATTTCTTTAAACTTTTTTACTTATTATGAGATCTTTTTTTTTTTTGCTTTTGAGGAAGTAAACAATCTCATATGTTTGTAAAAAAAGTAGGACAGAAGGTAGGTAGGTCAGAATCTGTTCATAGCATGATGACCTGTTGAGCAACTTCGGATCAGCCAGGAGACAGGAAACTCAGAACCTCTTCATGGAAATCTCATTCTAGACTCAATTATTCACTAGGGTTGAAAATATGTAGAAACACCCAAAATAATAGCTCAGTATTTCTCAGCCTGGAGTACACAGGTATTTGGTCTTCCATAATGGTGAAAGATGTCAGTGAATGCACTGAACGCTTGCACCTTGTTTTATAATAAGTATGAACAAGCTGACAGAACATCATGACAACGGGACATAAACTACATGAAAATGACATGGACTGATTAAAAACGAATAAATAAATAGTACAATTCTACCCTGTCAGACAAGGCAGTATGATCATGGGAAACACAAATAAGCCTATTGGACAATGGGAAAACAACAACTTCAAAGAAAATCTCTAAAATATACACACCTAAGCTTGGGAAACTCTTCTTTGAAGTCTCGGATATTTCTGTCGGAAACAGTTCTCATGCTGAGGATTTTTGCCACGATGTCATTTCCCTGCCAAGATCCTCGCCATGTCTGAAACATCAGAGGCAAGTGAACCATAACAAAAAAATTTTTAAAACACCACAAAAGATATTTGACAGCCGTATTTAAAACTAATAGGGCTCTAGAAACGAAAAACAAGTCATTAAAAGGCTTTTAGCATTCCAAAATTCTCAGCAGACAATTGGATCATTCTGTAAATATTCAGTCCTTGAAAATAAGCTGAACATTTCCTAAAGATACTTCACAGACATTGCACATGCTAAAGATCCCTTGGTGGTCCTAAAATCGATAAAGCGTTGGCTTCGGCATCCACTCGGGCAAAATTCAAAATTAATTCCTACCAAACTGAAAATGCTAAATGTGTACCGCACGTTCGTACGACGTCATGCAGCTGCAAGCACCTTAAAACACTTATCCAAAAAAAAAAGAAACAAAACAAAACTCTGATTGCTGAACTCACCTCCCCAGAGTGTGTCTTTGCAATGTGTCCCACCAGCTGAAGCTCTTTAATATCAATCCCCGTGTACCTGGACAGGACTGCATCACCTGTGGAACAGCAGGGAGAACCACACTTCACACCTGTAATACTGTTAACAGAATCTGAGCTAATTCAACCTGAAGGAATGTTATGTTCTTCTGATCCTCATGCATCATTTCACTCACAAAAATCTTAAGACTTTTATATAAGGCAATAACACAGGAAAGTCCTTCAGCTTCAAGGGATACTATCCTAAAATTTGAAGTCAGAACGCAGAAGTCACTGGATGAGGTTAATTGCTTTTTTTCCATAAAATCAAAATGAGGAACCAGTCAAAAAGGTTACAGAGTTGATTTCAATTGTCTGTTTATCTCCCAGCTGCAGCACAACATCTGCGGAAACTTTCACCTAGTTTGTAATCAAAATGCAAGGGAACATGAGTTAACACATACCAAAAGACTTAACTATCATTAAAAGACAAAGGTCAGAATTTTATGTTCAGCAAAATTCCATCAGGTTCGGTTGTATCTGTCCAAGACAATCACCTGCACCAATGACCACTTCCTATCTTGCAGCTTTTATACATCACCATGACACTGTTCAAGACTGTCTAAGACGACAACTTCTCTTTTCAACAATGGGTGGCCGCCTTGGACAATTTTGACTGGATAAGTAGCACAAACACTAAAGTGACCCAGAATCTGTACTTTGCTTAAGGTAAAAAAAAACCATTCCTATTCTCAACAGCAGGATATTAGAAACACATTTGAAACATCTACCGTCAGGTTCATCTAGGGGGAAACAAAGCACGAGTCCCCACACTTGACATATCCGTAAACTAAAATCTTGAACACCACACTTTATGTCGCTTGTGCCAGCTTCAGAAATGTCTTCAAAAGCAGAAAGATAGAACAAGGTCAGTCACCATTTAAGACCATCAGTATGACGATATTCTCATATCATTTTATAACAACAGGTCTGCAATATATTGCAATATGCTTTTCAATCATTTTACCTGCCAAAGAACGTTGAGTTGGTTGCCAAAACGGAGAGAAAAAACAGTTTCCATCATGAGATTGGAGTGAAATCTACAAGCACGACAAAACGTTACTTACGACTTCTTGTTTTATAGCCCAACCAGCTACGATCCTTGAAGGGAATTTTACTCAGGTCTTGCCCCACAGCAATTGCTCTTTCTGATGAAAAAAAACAACAGGGATTCAAATTAATTAACTCAAACAAAAGAAAAAACACAACAACAAAATTTGACAGTTCTAGAAGAGGTGAGCTACAATTTACTGTCCTAAAGAATAAAATTCAGCAACATTTCACCATGTGTCAAAGCAGTAATCACTACTTCAGCAACAGAGCTGAACAACTGCAAAGAAATTAGTGTGACATCGTAGTGAAATCAGGCGCTCATCAAAAAAAGGAATGAAATTTTAAAAGCCGACATTTACCACTCATTCGGCAATTTTTATCGAGTTGTCTTTTTTGATTCATCGCCTTTTATGTTCATTTAAAAACATGTTGGTTTTTGTGGATTTGAAGGAAAACCGCTGATAAAAAGCACACAAAATGTAAATTTGCAGTTTCCAAAAGTCACTCAAACTTTGGAAGTCACTAAACTTTGGTAGACATTTTTGCACTAATTTTACTGCCAACACCAGGTCCGTCAATTACAAATATCTCTAATTGTATTTAAAATAGTGTTTATTTTACTATCAAAAGCAAGAAAATTGAACAAGTTTTAAGATGATTTCAGTAACTTTTGCAAGAATTCTCATCATCAGCACAGAATTAGTTCAATCCAAACTGCACAATTTCCATTCCTACTTTCAGAGTAAGGCACTATGAAATGGAAATAACATATAAACAATAACGTTATAGCACATGGAAATATATATGCTCAATAATATTATAGCACATTAAAAAATATATATATATAAATATTAATGTCATAGCACATAGCATGCTCACACTATGTAAGCCTGACAGGCCATCCAGGAGGAAGGAGTTAATGGAAAGAGACAAGTTTAGCAACATACATTATTGGAGGCTTTCAGAAGATAAGGGTATGAGACTGTTAACAATCACTTTGTCTTTACACTGATAAAATAAAAAAACATTCAATATTTCTACATTTCTTACCCTTTAGCATTTTAGCCATGAAAGGCTTGCATTTGTCTAGTGGAACATCGTCAAATTTGTTGGCTATACTGACCAAAGCTCCATTACTGACGAGATCCTGGAAGAGATAAAAAATCAAGATAAAAATATAGCATAAATAATGGCATAAATAATTCTACAAAAAAGAGCATGATGCAAAGCAAAAGTATTTATAAAACATTTTACCTGTATGTTTCCAGATCACACTCAATTTTCTCATGTTAGTACGGGTGCGTGTTTGTGTGTGTGTGTTAGTGAGTTAGAGTTCTTAACTTTGTTTATGAGCGTGCATGTCTGAATGAAATGCTTCCAGTGAGAGTGTGGGTGTGTCTGTACGAGAGAGTGCGACTGCATTAGAGTGTCTGTGTCTGTGTGCACTTGAGAAAGCCTTAACTACCGCGAATAAATCAAAAGTAACAGCCACATTAGCAACTTCTCCAGCTGAAGTTATTCCGTTTTGTCTTATACAGAGAAAGAAATCTAGTCGATAAAATAACATGAGAACTCACCTCAGCTATCTGGTCATAGCCCCAGAAGCAAGCATAATGCAATGGTGAATTGCCATGCTCATTGATAGCATTCACGTTTGCCTTGTTGTGAAGTAACTGAAAGTGGGGAAAGTATATAGTGAATAAAAATGCTCTCAATAGTATAATTATTAAGATACCGCAGCACAGGAAAAATTCCGCATCAACCTCTATCATTTCTGTCCAACAAGCCAGTATTTACCAGTGGATACAGCATGTTTCCCGTTCCAAAACATATTTCTGAAATTTTCCCAAAAAACTTAGTTTCAAAAAAGAAAAAAAAAATCCCGATAAAAAAATTTGGACATTTTCAAACTGTTAGTAAGTGGTTCAAGGAATTTCTCAACTCCGTTAGATCACGACATTCTCATTGATAACAAAAGGGTCTACATGTCTAATAAACAATTCTTAAGCCCTCTTCGATTTACCAATAAACAAAAAAAAACAACCAGACAGGAGGGATTTTTTGTCTTTTCTTTTTTTTTTTGTGGGGGGGGTCCATTATAATTTAAAACATTTATTCGCAAAATCAATTAATACCAGTGTCTTATACGATAATTCTTTATTCAACAGCTAGAATAGTGTAAAACAAACATTACCATGAGCACAACATCCCTGTGACCGTGGGCAGCGGCCAAGTGTATGGGCGTGTCGTCTCCCATGTTGGTGGCGTTGATGCGTGCGCCCCGCTTGATCAACATGTCCACAATGTTGTCGCGACCTTCACGAGCAGCCCAGTGCAGCAGACTGAATCTGTGGTCATCCCTGCCCAAGCAATACAAGAAATCTCAATAAATGAGTGTGTGGCGAGGGGGGGTAAGGGGACGTGTACTGTGTCATTAAGGCTCGATTTCAAATTTAAAAAGTAAAATGTCTTAATATGCTCTTCTCTTTTCACATGACTAGTTAGAAATGAAGAAAAACAAAAAACAATCCAACAAAAACAAAACAGTTTGGTCGTCTTTGAACTAGTTTAAATAGACTACTGAGAATGCAGTTTTCCACATGCTTTTATCAAGCACGCATGCAGACAAATAAAAAGTGTGTCACAACTTCAAAAGATGGGTACATTAATTAATTTTTACATACAGACTTTCCCTCTGAATTACTGTGCTCAATCACTTGTGAATTAACCATCATTATCAATTATTTAAAACCAGTATATATAGATATAAAGAACAGAAAACACACGCTTTTCACAAAATTGTTTTTTTTTTAAAAAGCAACATTCTCAACACGTTCACAGGTGAATTCATATGATCAAAGAACTCCTTCAGGACTAAGACGACCGTAGAGACAGTGGCTTACAAGTGTGTGTCATCTTGCTGTCCATTAATTGAAGTGAATTCTATACCATCTCCCAGACATCCCACCTCTGTCACATGCACATGAAATCTAACCCCCCCTCCCAGATATCAATTTACATGATTTTGTTGAATTCTACAATAAGTTGTGGTACACACTGTACCAGACATAAGAGTGCCACTACAGACTCACTACAACTACAACCACTTTTTCTTTTTTTTTTTCACAATCTGAGTCAGCAATCACCATACAATTTAATAAAGCTGAAAAGACTCACCCTTTGTTAAGATCATTCTCTGTGTTATCCAGCCACACTCGTACATTGAAAGCATTCCCTTCCCGCACTTGAGTAAAAATGTCATCCATGTTGTCAGCGGACCAGCGACTTTGTTTCTGGGGAATTTAAAAGAAGCAAAAACATGTAGGATAAAACTTTCTAAATAAATAAAAGCACCAATGCCATAAAAACCAACTTTGTACTCTCTGCTAGTTAGTCCATATATATATATGTAAAAACAGTGTGTCTACTAAGTGACCTGATCAAAATTCAAAATTATCTGAAAACAAAAAAACCCCCGAAGGAACAGCTCCCAAATATTATTATTTTGAGTTACAGTTTTGGCTCCAACGAGTGCTTTTAATATTACATTAAAAATTACTTTTCACCATGCGTGCTGATACGATATTTGAGGTTTTCATTCGCTATCCATCGATTTCTCTTCAAATTAAAGAATACTTTCTGCTCTTGTGACTTAGAAATTTAGATATATATATATATTATTACGGTTACAAGAAATAAACTTTCGATGTGTCTTTGTATGTTTGATGTTTCACGGGCTGAATTAGATAGTTTGTCAAACTATTATTAGATTCGTCTAAGTTTGAACTCTATTCCATTGCACCCTCCATTCCGTCATTATATTTATTTACTTTAAAATCTAGATCCAAAACTCAAATTAAAAAGCACTACATTCAAAACCTCAAAGATAGAAGAAGAATGACTCTACTTTAATTTATTTCAGTGTGTCTACGTACACGGTAACCGGGCACCTAGCCTCAGTGTCTACGTACACAGTAACTGGCAACCGGGCACGTAGTCTCAGTGTCATGTACACGGTAACCGGGCAGTTCAGAACTCCCAAGTTCAGTTTTTGTCATCCAGTGTTGCCTTCATCCTCACCCCTCCCCCGACTGTACCTTTAAAAAAACCAATAATCCCTCCCATTCCTGAGCCCTGCTTCACAGCGCACAGGCTTTGAATGAGCTTTCGTGACCCCCAACCGGTACTCACAATGTGATGCGCACGCACAAGTTCACTGACCGGTCACGATGGCAAGCCCGACAATACGCTTGTACGACTTTCTTTTTTTTTCAGCAAGTGATAGCACAGGACAAAAGATAGATTTATTTTCATTCCGGTTTACCGTGTACGTAGATACTGAGACTATGTGCCCCGTTACCATGTAAGTAGATATTGAGACCGAAGTGGCTAGCCGTACTTAAGTACGGCTAGACTGCCAGTCTAGCCGTACTTAGATCTAGGTTTGGCCCTATCGACTCAAGCCTGTTTAGTACACAAGTCTCATTAGATCTAGATCTAGTACTTATTCAGGTTCAAATACATGCAAGTCAGTAAGGCACCTTTTGGTTTTGTCTGAAATACAAATACTTTAGGCATTGCAAACTAAAAATTTCATTTACAATTCAGCCATCAATATTAAGTACGGCTAGCCTGACAGTCTAGTCGTCCTTAAGTACGGCTAGCCTGGCTGTCTACCCGTACTTAAGTACGGCTAGACTGCCAGTCTAGCCGTACTTATCTTAGGCCCTATTAACATTAGAAAACAGGAGGTTTAAAATATATGCACTGTCATTAAGGTACCTGGTTTCGTCTCAAATGCAAATACCTTAGGTACTGCACACTAAAAATGTATATTTACAATGGCCACCTCTATTCTCACCCGGACTGAGAATAGTGCAGGCGAGTCTTGTGGCTATTCTCACCCGGTGCGCGTTCACCAAATATTGCGTTCACCCTAAACCACAGAATTCTACACTGTGATAACAGAAAAATTGTAGAATTCTGTGCCGTGAACAAACGTTCCATTACAACTGTAGCCTACTAAAAGCGTACAATTTTGTCTGTGGGCAGTGGAGAGAGAGAGAGAAAGAGAGAGAGGAGTAGCGCGAGAATTTCCGGGCAAAACAAAATGGCGACCCGCGTATTTCGGCTCGATTCGAAAAGTTAAATAGCCGTAGCATCTTTGTAGACAACCAAATTAATTTACTTTTGTGTTTTAACATCATTTTTTAACTTTGTTTTGGTCAATTTGATCGTCCACACCGATAGACAGTATTCAGAAAGAGACAGAGAGAGAGAGAAGAGGGGAGGAGCTGATCTTGCGAGAACTTCCGGCGGGTGAGAATAGCCACTTTCATTTACAATTCAGTAGGCCTATTTTTTGTAAATGGTCAGTCTAGCCATCATATCAAGAATAAGTACGGCTAGACTGCGAGTCTTGAAACAGACTTCCATATAGAGACTAGGTGCCCGGTTACCGTGTACGTGGACACTTATTTTTCAGTCATTCTCTCTCCTCTTACAGAAATTCTGCCTAGAACTCGTACTCATACTCAGAGAAAAAGCCATGAATATATCACAGGAGCGTCAGGCATCGGACGTGCATTCAGCTATGGCAATTGAAATGCAGTGAAACGTTGCTCTGTATTAAATGGTTTTAAGACTACTACTAAGTTTTTAAAAAGAACTCTCTGAAGAACTTTAAATTTCATGTTACTACTGTTCATGGTGGGCTAAACCTCCGCTCGCAAGTCATTCTACCCACGTAAATGATCACCTACATTGATGTAGACTTTCATGTTCACTAAACTGCCAGTCTGTACTGCTCTTACATAGACTAGACAGAGGAGGGGGACTGGTAAAGACCAAACCAAAATTATGATCAGGCAGTGAAAGTGACACTCCAAAACTTCCCCTTGCGATTTTCTATCATCTGTCCCCCTCACAGTAGTCACACTCACAGTCAAGGATCTTGCCTTTGATTTACTTTCATTAATGAGTAAAACCCACAATTCTAAATTTTGCCAAATAATAATTAAATCTAGAAATCTAGATCTAGATCTAGATTAGGCCAACGTAGGGAATTTATTGTAGAATTGGAATTGTAAGAACAGTGCCTAGCTGGTCAGACTGGGAACGGAAACGTAAACAATCGCTATCATTCATCATAATTCATGGGGAAACTGTCCTAATTTCGCCGAGTTGCTGCAACGAGATTAGGTTTCGTAGAATCTACACTTGACCACTCCCTTTCACTATGAAAAAGCTAGTGCTGTGCAAACTAACAAACGATCAAGGCTATTTGAAACTTACGCTGGACGAGACCCTGGATTATTTCGTCCGAGCAGACTGTTGACTGTTGAGATCACGAATCCGGAAGTCCCTTGAAACAGGATAAGTCAGGAACGGTGAAAGCTCGAAATGATTCACCCAACATAAATGTTAAAGAGCACAAAGCCACAATATGTAGGGAATTTCAACTCCCCAATGCCAAACGTCGAAATGAAAGTTATATTCCGTTCGTAAAATAACGTGTGAAGGTATAACAAGACGGTAACACGCTCAACTCCGTAACCACTCCTTCAGCCTGACCCATAAAAGGTAAATAGTAAAGCGAAAGAGAGTAATTTAAAAACAAGAATCAATTTATTCACGGAAGTTTTCCCCCCGTGGTGTTCGGTCGGCCGTGTGCACAATGCCATCTCTTGGCCTATATCTACTCACATAAATGGAATCATTTTCGGTGTATATATATTTATATAGATCTATAATATTTCTAAAACATATATTATTTTAGTAATATTTCTTTTAAAAGCTGCTGCACGCTCATATTACCTTATGCAGTTGCGAACGCCATGAAACACAAATTTACCACCAAAAAAAAAAAAAAAAAAAATTAATAGCAAAGTTGTCAGTGACGCAGTTTAGGCTAACAGCTTTAAATTGACAGAGTATAGAGATTTTCCAGCTTACTAATTATTCCATATTTCGGTTGTCGAACTGAAATAATAACTTATTATACTCCAACAACGTCTATTTACACGTAATTACCTACCAATGTGAGTAGGATACAGGAACTCAACGGAAAGATGGAAATACTTGATACAATGTACAAACTTGATCCTACTTAGCAATCGAGAACGCGTCTTTCAAGCTGCAAAGGCGAAGAACCCTCTGCTAAGCATCAGGGAGGGGGCTCTCGTGGCCTAGAGGTTAAGGTGTTGGCCTCTCATTCAAAGGTCCCGGTTTCGAATCCGGGTAGCGACCAAAAAATTTTCTTCTTTAAAATTGTCTCCTTTCACCTCCTTTCCTGCTCTCCAGCAATGTTCTGTTGTCTGCTTTCAATTCCACTTTCTGCCCCCACCCCCTCACCTCCTTTGCCCCCTCCTCTGGGCTCCTGACTCTTTCTGCAGCCTTTCTACTGCTACTCCTTGGCTCCTCATTACTGC